TTTAAATTTGAAACTTAGAACAGTATATAACCAGCGAAAAATGACTCGTTGATTGATGTCAAAATGCCATCAAATATACATTGAAATCGTCAAACCGACGTCAATTTGATATCATTTTGACGTCAATCAACGAATCATTTTTCACTAGGTATATAGATGTCACAAACATGAAGTCTTAAATAGCTCAGTGAAATCATCTTATATGGCATTAAAAGTGGACATTTATAGATACACACAAACACACCAGGCCAAAGTTTTCTGATCTTTCTTTTGTGTGGATGCAATAAAATTTATTAAATCCGAAGAAATCTTTTTGAGTTGAAGTAATTCGATATGAATACTCTAAGAAGTTCTGAGGAACTCCAATCATGGTGCATGTAACTTCCTATCATTCTTATAGTATTTTTCCACGAATTTCTAAGGAAGTACAATTCAGGAAAGGAGAAAACTTTAGGAATACTTAAAGAATTCATCATGCTATCTGGGATTCTGGCAATTCTTACGGTACTTAAATCGATTAATTCTTATAATTAAAGATTAGTTTGCTTGACTAATTGGCGTTCGCCGCTCGCGGACAAATCATACTTTGTTGTTCGCAGATTTCGCGAGACACTTTCTTCACTCTCTGTACTTTCGCGCATTTCATTTTTTTCGGATCGCTATCTTTGACAATCGTCGTGCTAACCTATTGAAGATTTGTCGGTTTCAACCGCAAAATGTCTTCGTCAGAAAGTGGAAAAAAACCGTATGTCCGTCCAAGACGACCGTAGAAGAGACATTTCCAAAGCAATAAAAAAGTAAACAAAAATAATGAGAAATTAGACGATAATCCGGGACCGTCCTCTGCGTCAAAGAGAAAATTAAGTTCAACTGATACAAACGCGTTTGAAAATCAGGACATTGCGTATAAAATCATAAACTTTGTAACTGTTTTTAGTATTAGGTGGTAAACTTAGTTCCTGCGGCTCACCGTTAGATGACGTTAGTTGTAGGTGTAATTTATTTTGACATCTGAAACTGGCTGCATTTTAGAGGTTAGACATTTGTCAATAAAATTCAGTGCGAAGAGATTCATTTAAGCGAGCAGTGCTATTTTTTCTTTTGATTAAATATGGAACGTGATAAGTTGTTTTTTCGACATGTGCTGCTTCATTACTTTGACTTGAAAAAAACGCAGCTGCAGCTCATAAATTGCTTTTCAAAGCTTATGGCAATTATGCTCCATCGGAAAGAACATGCCAAGTATGGTTTCAGCGATTTAAGAGTGGTGATTTTGATGTCAATGATAAAGAACGCTCAGGCCAACCGAAAAAGTTTGAAGACACCGATTTGCAGGCATTATTGGACGAAAACTCTACTCAAACGCTCCAAGAATTGTCTGCAGCATTAAATGTTACTCCGATGGCTGTTTCCAAACGTCTACATGCAATGGGAAAAATTCAAAAGGAGGGAAAATGGGTACCACACGAATTAACCGCAAATGCCATTGCGAATCGCTTAAACATCTCTATTTCTCTGCTCGCCAGGCAGAAAAAGAAGAGTTTTTTGTGGCGCATAGTGACTGGCGATGAAAAATGGATATACTTCGATAATCCTAAACGAAGAAAATCATGGGTAGACCCTGGCCAACCATCGACATCCACACCAAAGAGAAATATTCATGGCCACAAAGCAATGCTTTGCATTTGGTGGGATATGCACGGCGTCGTTTATTATGAGCTACTCAGACCGAACGAAAGTATCACGGGGGATCGATATCAATCATAATTAAGCCGTCTGAATGAAGCATTGTTGGAAAAAAGGTCAGCAGTAGCCAGCAATCGACGTAAAATCATGCTTTTGCACGACAACGCTCGACCACACGTTGCTAAAGCCGTCAAAGAAACACTGATGCAGCTCGAGTGGGAAGTTCTCCCGCACCCAGTGTATTCACCAGACTTAGCTCCTTCGGACTATTACTTGTTCCGGTCGATGCAGCACGGCTTGGTGGATACACACTTCAGAAATTACGAGGATGTGCGAAAATGGATCGACGAATGGATTGCATCGAAAGACCAATCGTTCTATCGTCGCGGAATCTACGCGTTGCCCGAAAGATGGGAAAAATGTATAGCTAGCGAGGGAAAATACTTCGATTAATGTATTTTTTGCTTTTGATATAGAAATAAATGAGTTTTTTAAACAAAATAACCGCAGGAACTAAGTTTACCATCTAATATTAAGCGAGTATGTTCGATGCAAAGTTTGTGAAGGAAATGTGGAATTCAGTACAATCGGACATGTGGGATTAGCCTTCCAAATTAAATTGAAGTGCCAAAAGTATAAACCTCGCTACATAGATTCGTGTTCAAAAATAAGTCACCATAGTTACTGGGATATTGGGTATAGTAGATATTGGGCATCGGTTTTTCAGGAATTGTAAGGTTTTGCGGTTTAATAGATCTGACACATTTTCTTACTACGACAGAATAATTAGATCCATGCAGCAAGCAACTTTAGCCATAGCTCAATTATCAATGAAGAGAGCGGTGAACAAAGAAGTTGAATTGACTGGTGACCCAGACAGTATCACAATTTCAGGTGATGGCAGCTGGAGAAAACGAGAATTTCAGTTTTTACATGGCGTTGCTGTCATCGGAAACTTCACAGGAAAAGTGCTTGATGTCAATATAAAGTCTTTATATTGTGCTGCTTGCAAGATATGGAAGCCTTGTAATGGTACACCAGAATATTTGAATAGCTGAAAAGGCATGAAGAAACATGTTCACAGAATCATCAAGGAAACGCAGGTAAAATGAAAGCCACGTGTGAAATATTCCAACGATTAGAAAAGAAATACTATATCAAGTACAAATACTATGTTGGCGACGGGGATGCGAAAACGTTTATAGCTATACAAAATATACAACCTTACGGTCCAGAGAAAAACCTTACGGTCAAATTTTCAAGAGAGAGAGTACGTTGGCCATGTGCAGAAACGTATGGGTAGCAGATTGTGTAATGTAAAGAAAACAGAAAAAGGTCTTAGTGGTAAAGGTAAATTGGCAGATGTTCTTATAAAAGAATTGACACTATACTACGGCACTATATTACGCAATCAGAAGTAACGATACTATTGACAGCATGAAGAATGTTGTATGGTCAACATTTTATCACAAATGTTCAACGGATGATACACCACAACATCATTGCCATGTTGGACCAGATAGTTGGTATACATGGCAAAAAGCTAAAGCGACTGGCACATTGACAAAGTATAAACGCAAGTCAGCACTACATATCGATGTACAACAAGTGATAAAGCCAGTATATAAAGCATTAACTAACGACGAGTTATTGAAGAAATGTGTGGGCCACTTTACACAAAACACTAATGAAAGCTTTCATTCAGTCGTGTAAAAAATAGCCTCAAAAGAATCTTTCAGCGGCATCGAAATCGTAGGAATTACTACATATACTACTATAATGTTTAATGATGTCAACATTTATATCCTCAACATAGTGAATGGGCAACATAGTGAATAGCAACATTCATATCCTCAACATAGTGAATGGGCGCATTAGGATTACAAATGAACCCACGTGCTTTCGAGATGACTAGGCAGCAATACAGTATTCGCTTGGCAGGCGCAGACAAAAAGAAGTTTAGCAATTTAAATCAAGCACGACAAGAAAAAAAAGAAGTTCTGCAGCTGCTGTTGAAGTTGAACGTACTTTGGAGACTGCATCCTACAGTGCAGGAAATTTCTGAACTGCGTAAGTACGACTGTTCTAACATAAATATTATACTGAAACTTTGAATGCGATTTTCTCGAAACTATATTTTTTGATGATTTTACCACGATATCTCGAGAATCGCAAAAGATATCAATTAGCAGTTTATATAGAAGTTGTAAAATACTATGTCGCATAAATTGTATCTGAAATCATATTGAAAAAAAATATTGTTACAATTTTATAATAACAAATAACTCGAATTTTTCCAAATTTTTCATTTTTTGAACGCCATTTTGATAATTTTATTTTTATTTTTATTTTTTTATTTTTCAGATACAATCAATAGACGGAAGTCTAAGGAAAAAAAATATTGCTGCAATTTCTCAAAATCTTCATCCGTTCACCTGGAATGGTAAAACCGTGGATTTGATAGTTTGCTTCACTACATTGGGACGCCGATATTATTGACTTGGGAATGATTTTCAATGAATTTTTTTATTTTATAATATTATAATTAATACCCTTAAAAATAAAAAAAAAGTTTTATATTTATTCGCGACATTGTTGTAAAAAATTAAACGCAAGATAATTTATGAGATTTCAAACCTACTTAGTCCCCTTAAAATAGTTAACGATTTTTCCAAAAATCGTATTTTATATTGTACGAAGATATATTATAAAGTCAATAAAAGCTGAAAGCAACAGAGAGTAACGTGTAATGTTTAAATTAGTGTATTCTATGGAATATGGTTTGAATAAATTTATTTGACTATGGATATTTGACTAATGAATGGATATTACTAAAATCTGCCGTTTTATTGGGTACTTTGTAATGATAGACCCACCACGACAAACATTTTTAATGAATGAATTAAAAATGAGTAATCATCGATGAGTAATTGTCGACTGGACAAATTTTTGTCGAGAAGTAATATATTATTTGGACTACTTATTTACTTTCACTGCTAAGTAATGTTGTATGTATTTAGTAAATCATCTTTATTTCAACGATAAATTGTAAACGAACTAAAGTCAATCGATGGAGAGGGCAAAATTAAATTGAGAGAAATAGATGAAGCCAAAGTAGATAAGAGAAAATGTAATGCTAGACGTTATTACAGGGTAATAGGTTTTCATCATTGAATGTGATACCAAAAAAAGTTTATATCTTACTTGTGTCGGATCGACGATACTTTTTTAAAAATTGTAAAAAAATATGTACTTGACTCCGTTATACAGAATGTATCAGACCAGCCGTGTCACCTGTTTTATTTGGCAACCAAGTGTCATACAGAGACGAGCAAAACATTTTTTAAAGGAAACCGTACCTATAGAATTTTCCATTAATATTTAAATAAGCTTGTTCGATGACGGATGTTGTCTAATGCTCGTAGTATCTCCAGACAGCATATCAACAGACAGAGATCGACAAGCTGCTTGAATAGATTCCTTCATATTTTCTTTTGTAGTTGAACGTTGTTTATAAATAATTTCTTTTATTCGCCCCCATAAATGGAAGATAATTTGAACAGTTGATTTGAAAAAGGGCTAATAAAAGGATTGAGACACGTGTTAACGTATTTAAAATTTTTGTTTCCAAAAATTTTTCTCGGTTAATAGTTGAAATAAAAGAAAATGTTTCTAACAAAAGTTGTTTATTTTGAAGAAACTTATTGAGCGATATCACATTCGATATATGTTTCCTATTTAAATTTTTGATGTTATTTTCGGTTTCGATCACTTCCAATTTTTTCTGGAAAATCGTAGTAGTATCAATTGATTCTATGGGTACGGTTTCCTATAAAAAAAGGACTGAATAAAAGGGGTGGCACGGGTAGTCTAATACACCCTGTATATATGGATAAGTGAAGATTACTTTAAAGTACAAATAATTTTGTAAGTTAAGTACTCAAAATCACTAGCCAATAATAATAAAACTACTAAACAATAGTTATTTATTACTGACAAATCAATATTACTTTTCTGTAGAGCGAAGAACGTTTAAAAGATGCTTATTCTGTTCAATATAGAGCAATTAACACATAAGCCCATAATAAAGCCCGTATAAAGCTAGTAATAGAGATCAATGATCAAAAATTAGAAGTCAAATTTCAATGAAACAAGTAATTTCTATTAGACTAAAAAAAAGTAATCCAGAATAGATAACAATGCAACATGTTGTTGTTATTGATTTTTGTCAATAAATTTTATTTTTCTTAGGTTCTTTATCTTACATTCAAATAACGGCATTATAAGGCATCACATCTGCCTCATTTGCAACTGTTTGGTTCAATTTGGCACCGGATAAAGTATACCAAGTTGATTGATAAATCCTTAGAATGAAAATGAAAAAACATTTTATTAGCAAAATTCAACTTTATTCTTCAACATAATCTCCTTTTAGCTCCAACTTCTAGAGTCCAACGAGTTTCTAGCTTGCCAAAATATGCGTCTGTTCCCCATTCAACTTCTTCATTTAAAGCAAATCTCTTTCCCTGGAGCCACCTTTTGAGATTTGGAAACAGGTACAACTCACACGGGACCAGATCTGAAGAATACGGTGAATGTGGGAGCGATTCATACCTCAATTCCTTAAATTTTCCCATTGCTTTTAGTGATTTGTGAACTAGTGCATTGTCTTCATGAAAGAGAATTTTTTTCTTCGCTAAATGAGGTCGTTTTTTCTTGATTTCATTATTCAATCGGTCCAACAATAATACATAATATTCTTCTGTGATTGTTTTTCCTTTTTCAAGATAATCGATGAGGATTATTCCATGTGCATCCAAAAACACAGTGACCAGAACCTTTCCAGCCGATTGTTGCGCCTTTGGAACACTTCCACCCTTTGGAACCCATTGTGCCGACTGTTGTTTCGATTCAGGTGTATAATGGTTGATCCATGTTTCATAAACGGTTATACATCGATGCAAAAATTCCTTTGATTTGCGCCTAAACATGTCCAAACAATGCTGAGAAGTGCGAACTCGTTTACATTTTTGATCGATTGTTAGCAATCGCGGCATCTTACAGTTAGCTTTTTCATATTCAAATGATCGTTTAGGATATTGGACACATGTTCAGATGAGATGCCCACAGCCGCAGCTAGTTCACGTAATTTCATTTTGGGGTGAAATACGATATCATGAATTTTTTCACTCATTTCTGGTGTAGTCACCTTATTTGGACGACCATTGCGTCGTGCATCTGATATGCTGATACGACCACGTTTAAACTCAGCAATCCAGTTATATACTGTTGCATTCGACGGAGCAGACTCTCCCAAAGTTTTTTGGAAGTCCTCAATCATTTCTTGCGGTTGCAAGCCTTTTAAATAGAAATACCTAATCACTGCACGAATTTCAGTTTTTTCCATTTTTACAAAATATCAGAGGTTATGTGCTTCCGGTGGCTGTCACAACTGACTATACTGATTGTCATAACTATCTGCAGTTGTGTAGTAAGAGGTTTGAAGGTTGGCACTACTGGAAATTCACGACGCATTGGAGGTGGCAACACTACTGATGTGTCATTCTAAAGATTTATCAATCAACCTGATATATTTGTTATTGTTTGCTTGTATCTTCAATTTGGAGAAAACATTGTCGAAACTAAATAATTAATTTATGAGAGAGATATGGAAAATATACGGAGAGAATCCCATATCCTGTATCAGTTGATATATGTGAAAAATAGTTTAGATGCTTCAGAAATTTTATTTCAAAAACGGTAAATGTTCACTTTAAAGGAGTCACCTCCAATGTTCTTGATCTTGACATTATATTGTTAAAGTCATCGTCCTGAGTAACACGCAAAAGATTTTAGCCGTCGCTCGTTGTTTATTAAAAAGTTATTAACAAAAAAAATTTTATAAACGAAACGTAATTTTGGTATACAATATACATTGAAATATGATAAACAGTATACGTATACCCAGATAGCATAGAGATGAACAGAAGTTCCTAGAGAATTCATTTTAAAGAATAGATATAGAATTAGAAAAATGAATACCTGAAGAATTCTTGAAGAATTAACCACAGTAAGTTCGTCTTGAAATATTCCTTAGGACTTTATTATAGCGAATACTTCGCAACTTAATTCCTAAAACACTTTGAGAATTCATTAGGAATTAGGGCTAAGGCAGAGAACGAGATGTAAGCGTCGTAGACATAAAGTAAGGCAGAGAAAAACGTAAGCGTAAGGTTAATAGCTTTTCATGCTTTTTATATTTTTCTCTGCTTTATTTTACGTCTACGACTATGACGCTTATGTCTCGTTCATCTGTCTTAGCCCTTATAAATGTTTTGTTTATAGCAATTACTTTTTGCGTCTATATTCAGTACATGCCAGTGAATGTATAATAATTAATTTATATATTTACATATAAATTGTTTAATTTATTGTTATTCGCAGCTATTTATATTTTGTGGAATTAATTATATAGTTTTATATAATAGGGCAAAGAGAGGGAATTGGTGTTAAAATAACTTTTGATATATAAAATTTTCACCTGTATCAATAATAAATATATTTATGCGAAGTATATTTTATCCTTAAGTTTGTATTCATGTTTCTAAAATCCATATATAGTTCTAACAAACTCAATCGCATTATTTGAAAGCCATTTATTTTTGGATTTTGAATTACATATTTGAAAGTGCGCTTTATTTACATTTGAAGCTCAGTTAGAACAATATATATAACAGTATAACAGTTATAACAGTTATAACAATATAGTATCCAGCGAAAAATGATTCGTTGATTGACGTCAAAATGACATCAAATAGACGTTGAAATCGTCAAACCGACGTCAATTTGATATCATTTTGATGTCAATCAACGAATCATTTTTCACTAGGTATATAGATGTCACAAACATGAAGTCTTAAATAGCTCAGTAGAAAGAGCGGTTGTCTGGCAAGCGGAAGACCCGAGTTCGATCCTAGCCGAGTCTGATGTTTTTCATCTCATATGGCATTAAAAGTGGACATCTACAGATACACACAAGAGCAGTAGTACTTCCGACCAAAGTTTCTGAT